AACCCCCACCCCCACAAAGAACAAAGGGTTCTTGATTCAACCCCCACAAGAACAAAGCCCACACCCCCAACTGCCTCCTTGATTGGGCTCTCATTCTGGGTCACCACTCACCTGCCTCAATCACCCCAGGGACAGATCCTAGACAACCAGGGACAGCACCCAAGCCCCAGAACCCACTGAAAGTGCTGACTCTGCTTACACCTTGCCTCACCCTTCCTTCTGGCAGAAACCAGTTCAGACTCTCATTAGGGGCCAGGCACGGTGGCTTACGCCTCTAATCCTAGCACTTTGCGAGGCTGAGGCAGGCAGATCACAAGGTTAGGAGTTCAAGACCATCCTGATCAACATGTTGAAACCCTGTCTCTACTGAAAATACAAAAATTAGCCAGGGGTGGTGGTGCATGCCTGTAATCCCAGCTACTCAGAAGCCTGAGGCAGGAGAATCACTTGAACCTGGGAGGTGGAGGTTGCAGTAAGCCAAGATCGTGCCACCCCACTCCAGCCTGGGCAACTGCTCGAGACTCCATCTAAAACAACAAAAACAAACCAACAAACAGAAATTAGCTGGGTGTGGTGGCACATGCCTGTAATCCCAGCTACTTGAGAGGCTGAAGGCAGGAGAATCACTTGAATAGAGTTTCGCTCTTGTTGCCCAGGCTGGATTGCAATGGCACGATCTCAGCTCACTGCAACCTTCACTTTCCAGGCTCAAGCAATTCTCCTGCTTCAGCCTCCCAAGTAGCTGGAATTACAGGTGCCCACACCACGTTCAGCTAATTTTTTGTATTTTTAGTAGAGATGGGCTTTCACCATGTTGACCAGGATGGTCTCTAACTCTTGACTTTAGGTGATCTGCCTGTCTCAGCCTCCCAAAGTGCTGGGATTACAGGCATGACACCATGCCCAGACCCAAATTAAATCTTTTTTGAAAATTATTTTTCTATTCTTTGTCCCTCTAGAGAACAAATTAAATCTTACATGGATCCTCCCCCACCCCTTATATCAAGGGACAGACTGTGATTTCATTAGCATACATTTATTTTATGAGTTCATATTTGTACAACAGAGCATCTCAATCACAAAGAACAATGAAGAGTTTTAGCTGAACCCACTTTTGAAATCAGGGGTTTACAGAGGCCAGATGCAGCCCTCCAACAGCCAGGACATTCAATTTACTTGGGAATTTTTGCTTGGGATTCGCCCTACCAGTGATGTCTTGACTCAGTGAAGTAGCTTCAAATGGTGACAGTTTTACATGACAGCTTACACTGCAGTCCCAGAATACACTTTGACTGCTCCAGAAAATCTTGAAAGAAAAATGGTAGGATTTTGATTTCATGGGTGACATTGAACAACCACACACCTGTGTATCACAAATACAAATGTTATACCCCTGAAATTCACAATAAGCACAAAATACAGTCTTCATGCTGCAATATGATGAGAAATGTCACACCATCTCTTATTATACGAGTATGCCTTGATGGGAGACCAGCATGCAACAAACATGCTGGAGGCTTTTGTAGCATTTATTCAAGCTCAGACTCTGCGTTGCAACAACCAACACAGTAGTACAATATTCTGAGAGGAGGTATGCCCAGGCCAGGGATTTACAAGGAATAAAAAGGTCATCAGAGAAGCTGGGCATGGTGGCTCACACTTGTAATCCCAGCACTTTGGGAGGCTGAGGTGGGTGGATCACTTGAGGTCAGGAGTTCAAGACCAGCCTAGCCAACATAGTGAAACTCCATCTCTACAAAAAAAAAAAAAAGAAAAAAAAATTAGCTGAGTGTGGTGGTGCATGCCTGTAATCCCAACTACTCAGGAGGCTGAGGCAGGAGAATCATTTGAACCAGGGAGGTGGAGGTCGCAGTGAGCCAAGGTTGTGCACTGCACTACAGCCTGGGCAACAGAGGGAGACTCAGTTTCAAAAATAAAAAAGATCAACAGAGAGCTACAAACTTCTTGACCATGGATTTGCAAGAAGTTCACATAGGTGTATGAAGACAGCAGGAGGAGGTTTATCCCAACCACTGCACAAGAGAAAAAGATGTTGAACTGAGGCTGCACAGCCAGCTTGGGAAAGGGACAAGAATCAGCCTTCGAAGTTTTAGGTTATGTCCATCAAGTGAATTCTAAAAATTCCTTCTGTTTCTTGGCACTTGCTGGGAATGCAAGAATCTAATAGGAGTTTCTGCCTGCTTGAGAGCGTGTCTCTTACCTGCACCCTGGCCACCAGGGTAGGGGTATAGAGACAGAACCACTATATTTTGTTTTTGATAAGGGGGTGAAATGGGGTGGCTTCCCAGAAATAAGAAAGGGGGTTGAGGCCAGGTGTAGTGCCTGCAGAGGCAGGCAAATCACTTGAGGTCAGGAGTTTGAGACCAGCCTGGCCAGCATGGCAAAATGCCATCTCTAATAAAAAAAAATACAAAAATTAGCCAGGCGTGGTGGCAGGTGCCTATAATCCCAGCTACTAGGAAGGCTGAGGCAGGAGGATTATTTGAGGCCAGAAAATACAGGTTGCAGCAAGCCAAGATTGCACCACTGCACTCCAGCCTGGGTGACAGAGTGAGACCCTGTCTCAAAGAAAAAGAAAAGAAAGGAGGGAGGGAGGGGGATGGAGGGGAGAAGGGAGGGGGGAAGGAAGGAAGGAAGGGAGGGAGGGAGGAAGGAAGGAAGGAGAGTGAGTTGAATGCTGGAAGTCACAGACATGACTGACATCTACCACAATGGGGTCTCTGGCATTTCAGTTTGGTAGGCTGAGTGTGTGTGTGTGTGTGTGTGTGTGTAAGTTACATTTTTGAAAAGAGATTCAGTTCAAACCTTTGCAGATCCCTGAACTAGCAGAAGTTTGCAAATTGACAGGTCAGGTGTCTCTAAGTAAAAATCTGTCTACTCACATGTATTTGGATTTTACCTAATTTTTAAAATTATTCTTTATCTCAATGTTAACATCGTTCATTGGTAACTCTTGAAAATGGCCTCTTAATTATTTACCTCCTTTTGGACCACTGCCTGGAAGCCTCACCTCTTTTTTTTTTTTTTCTCTTTTTAGACAGTTTTGCTCTTGTTGCCCAGGCTGGGGTGCAATGGCACCATCTCGGCTCACTGCAACCTCCACCTCCGGGGGTTCAAGCCATTCTCCTGCCTCAGCCTCCATAGTAGCTGGGATTACAGGCATGTGCCACCAACTCCCAGCTAATTTTGTATTTTTAGTAGAGATGGTGTTTTCTCCATGTTGGTCAGGCTGGCCTCAAACTCCCGACCTCAGGTAATCCCTGCCCCCCCGCGCCCCCACCTCAGCCTCCCAAACTGCTGGGATTCCAGGCGTGAGCCACTGCGCCCAGCCACCTCTTCTTTAGAGAGTGGAGTTCACACCTCCTCACCAAGCCAGAGCTTCCAGGATTTAACTTGGCAAGACTCTTAGACCGTCACCCCCGGCGCCAATCTGGGCGGAAGGGTCCCACCTCTGACCGCTTCTGTAAGAGACTCCACGTGTGAAGAATGGCGACAGCTTTTCAAGAGACATTTACAGATCAGCGAGCTCCTCAGAGGCGGAGCGCAGGCAGCTCTCAGCCATGGTTTCTGCTTGCTATGCGCAAAACAGGGTATCCCACTCTGGACAAGTTTGTGCCAGAGTTACATTCAAGGTACATGCTTTTGAAACACAGAAAACGGCTCTAGACTTTACAATACCAGGATTTCCAGGAGGGCGCACAGCTAGAGGGGTCTGTGCCGTCCGCCTCCCCTCAGCAGGAGAGGCAGCCCCAGCATCGGGCCGCAGGTGACAGCCGAAGGGGGATGGCAGCCCTTCACCCGAGTAGGGATCTCCCTGACATGTTCCTCCCGGATCTGCCTGGGTTTTCTTCAACTAACAGTTAAGAGATCTCCAAAACCTTGGAATCCGGGACCCTGTTGTCCCCTCCTCCATTTTCTGCAAAGGGCGCAGGCGCCTGGGGAAAAGCCTTGGTCTCCATAGCAACGGTCAGACGCCTGCTAGGCTCTGGCTCCGACTGCGCCTGCGCGGCTGGTCCTGCGGGGTCTCCCCGGTGGCGGAAGATGTCTGTGGGTCTTTGAGAGCCTTCCTCACTTAGAAATTACTCTCATCCTCTCAAGTGATACCCATACACATAGCAGGTGTTACTCACACTCTCTCAAATATTACCCACAACTGCTCTCAATTATACACGGATGCTACCCACACACCCTAATACTACCCACGCTCACTGATGTGTATTCAAGTAACCCAAATGTTACCCATGCCTACTCAAATATGTAGTATGACAGTCATGGCCAAGATTTTGGTCTGTTTTATTCCCCTTCTGTATCCCCAGTGCCTGGCACACTGTAGGGCCTCAGGAAATTTTGTTGAAGGATACGTGAATGAATGAGTAATACACACTCAACCAGATTTTGTGAACATTCAACTGTTACCCACAGCTACTCAAATGCTACCTACGCTCACTCTGATGTCTCCAAGTAATTTAAATATTACCCACTTACTCTGAGTGCCATGAAGGAAGGGATTTTTGTTCAGTTTACTCCCTTCTGTATTCCCAGCTCCTAAAACAGTACCTGGGACATAATAGGTGCACAGTAAATATCTGTAGGATGAATGAATGAGCCAAGGGTAGCCAGAAGTTAACCACACACACTCAGATGTAACTCACAAGTTAGTTAACTCAGAGAAAGATATCTACCCCTGGCTGGACGCGGTGGCTCACGCCTGTAATCCCAGCACTTTGGGAGGCCGAGGCGGGTGGATCACGAGGTCAAGAGATCGAGACCATCCTGGTCAATATGGTGAAACCCCGTCTCTACTAAAAATACAAAAAAAAAAAAAAAAAATTAGCTGGGCATGGTGGCGCGTGCCTGTAATCCCAGCTACTCAGGACGCTGAGGCAGAAGAATTGCCTGAACCCAGGAGGCGGAGGTTGCGGTGAGCCGAGATCGCGCCATTGCACTTCGGCCTGGGTAACAAGAGCGAAACTCCGTCTCAAAAAAAAAAAAGATATCTACCCCTTTCACACTAGTCAGATGTTACCTGTGCTATCCAAAGGATATCCGTTCTTACTCAAAAGTTACTCATTCACTAGTCATTCCTATCCTCACTTATATTACCCACACTCACTCCTACTCCTTAAATGCACTCAGGTGGTACCTACCCTCCCATGGTCATCACCGACACCCACTCGTCACCCCCCACGCCCACCCAATGCCACCACCACCTCACAGCTTCTTGTCCGAGGCGTGACGCCGCCGGCGGTTTTTCTTGTTCTTCCTTTTGCCCCTCTTGCCATCTCCAGCCTTGCTCTCCTTCTCGGAGGAGTCCGGAGTCGGCACCATGTCCATCCGGACAGTGGCCCCAGCCTCCGGCTTCTCCCCCAGCCCAGGCACACAGCCCTTCCTTGCAGGCAGCTCTCCGGGGCCCGTCTCTGGGAGACACAGTTCCTGCCTCAGGACCCGCGCCACATCCTCAACCGTCCTCCCTTCGCTCTGCAGAAAGAGGTTCAGCTTGGTCAGGAACTCGATGTCCTGCTTCTGGGGCATGTAGACCACTCTCCACACACCGCCCTTGCCCTTGATCTCCCTGGGGACCACGGCGTAATTGATGGCCTCCGTCAGCTCAATGATGGCCGCCTTGGAATTATCTTCTTCCAGATAGGCCTTCCCAGCCACTTCGAACTTGCCTAGAGGTTTGAGGGGCAGCCGAATAATCTCTTCGAATTCCTCATGGTTGCAGTCCTCGGGGATCCCCAGGATCATCAGGGACTTGTGACTGTCCACCTCCAGGGCCTTGCACCCATGCTCCAACAGGGCAATGTCCTTCACGCCAAACAGCATCTTCCCCAGCTCTTTGAGGCAGCAGTATGCCCGCTGGCGCACACCTGAGCTGCCTCGGGAATCCACGGAAGTATCCAGGTTGCCGGGATGCCTTCCCAAAGGCTAGGAGAGAGAGGCCGGCCTCAGGGGCCAGAGGCCGCTCCCAGGCCCCCTTCGTCCAGCTCAGTGAAGGATGCCCCCAGCCCCTGCCTGCGGGGCTGTGCAGTGTCAGGCAGGGCTTCTGTGGCTCCCTCGGAGTGGGCTCGAAGATTCCCAGGGACTTACGCGTGCTGGAGAAGCAGAAGGCGCTGTTTGCCACCTGCCTCGTGGCTCCCGGGTCCCAGGCGAGGCTGCACCGAAGGGGGTCTTAAGATGATGCTTCCCCTTTCTTGGCGTGGCCTCCAAAGGCCTAGCAGGCCCCGACAGTCTCTGCGGATCTGGGACTGCTGATCTCCGCCAACGGAGTGTCGTGGGTGGGGCCCTGCCAGGCAGGGAGGCGCGTCCCTCACCGCCGGCCCAGAGACTGCCCTCAGGGCCCTGTGGCCAGACTGGGACGGGATGCGGCCGCTGCACTTGCTCCCGCTGTGACGTCACCGTCTCCTTCCGCTCTGAGGCCTGGAGGTCTCCATGGCAACGGCTGGAGCATCGCCGCTGCCATTGGCCGCCTGGTCGCATTGAAATCAAGAGTCTGAGGGGGTCATTCAGGGGGTCATTCAAAAGTGCCCGCGATTCTCCTTTGAATAATAGCCGATTCCAGGGGTGAGGGGACAGGGAATATACAAGAGGCACCCTGGGAATCTTTTGGGGTCAGAAACTAAGAAAGTATTTTTAAGAAAATGAGGAGAACAGGCCGGGCGTGGTGGCTCAAGCCTGTAAGCCCAGCACTTTGGGAGGCCGAGGCGGGTGGATCACGAGGTCAAGAGATCGAGACCATCCTGGTCAACATGGTGAAACTCCGTCTCTACTAAAAATACAAAAAATTAGCTGGGCATGGTGGCGTGTGCCTGTAATCCCAGCTACTCGGGAGGCTGAGGCAGGAGAATTGCCTGAACCCAGGAGGCGGAGGTTGCGGTGAGCTGAGATCGCGCCATTGCACTCCAACTCCAGCCTGGGTAACAAGAGCGAAACTCTGCCTCAAAAAAAAAAAAAAAAGAAAAGAAAAGAAAAGAAAAGAAAAAGAAAAAAAAGAAAATGAGGAGAACACCTGGAAAGACCCAGGAACCGGCATGAAAGCCTCCCACTGGCCAACCCTGGGACAATTTGAGCATCAACGTTAAAAATGAAAGTAACCGCCAGGTGCGGTAGCTCAGGCCTGTAATCCCAGCACTTTGGGAGGCCGAGGCGGGTGGATCACGAGGTCAAGAGATCAAGACCATCCTGCTCAACAGGGTGAAACTCCGTCTCTACTAAAAATACAAAAAAGTAGCTGGGCACGGTGGCACGTGCCTGTAATCCCAGCTACTCAGGAGGCTGAGGCAGGAGAATTGCCTGAACCCAGGAGGCAGAGGCTGCGGTGAGCCAAGATCGTGCCATTGCACTCCAGCCTGGGTAACAAGAGCGAAACTCCGTCTCAAAAAAAAGAAAAGAAAAGAAATAAATAAAGAAAAAGAAAGTAACCGATTATAACCCCTTGAATAAAATTAGAATCTATGAGTTTATTTAGATATAAGTACATTAATGGAAAGTTTGGTGAGGAATGTGAACCAGCACATTGTCTCAAAGTACCTGCCCATATAATACTCATCAAAAGGAACAAACATCTATTTACAGTGGAATATTTTTGCTTGTAGGACGTACAGACACACACACACACACACACACACACACACACACACAATGATATTTAGAACAATATGACAATTTACACAACACTCAAAATGCTTCAGGGGAGAAAACTTTTCTTTTCTTTTCTTTTTTTTTTTTTTGAGACAAAGTCTCCCTCTGTTGCCAGGCTGGAGTGCAATGGCACAATCTCAGCTCACTGCAACCTCCACCTCCTGGGCTCAAGCGATTCTCCTGCCTCAGCCACTCAAGTAGCTGGGACGACAGGCACCCACTACCACCCTGGCTAATTTTTGTATTTTTTGTAGAGATGGGTTTTACCGTGTTGGTCAGGCTGGTCTCGAACTCCTGGCCTCAAATGATCCGCCTGCCTTGGCCTCCCAACATGCTGGGATGACAGGCATGAGCCACCAGGCCCGGCCCAGAATTGCCTTGGGACCCAAGAGTCCAACCCCCTGTCAGGAGCCACATATTCTGATCCCTCGTGTGAGTGAAGAGCCCATGGGTTTGGGGACATTGGCGTCCTTGGAACCCCCACCTCCCCTTCTGGACCATGCTCTGCTACTAGGGCCCAGAATTCCTTGCTAAAGTGACCTGAGCCACTTCCAGGACACATGCAGGCATCTTCTCCGGCTGGACAGTACCACTGTGGCGCATATATCCAGCCTCAGTGGATGGCCCTAGGCCCAGAAATGAAGTTGAGAAGGAATGGAGCATGGAGGTCCCTGCCGGGGCATCTACCACATGCACACAAGGACCCTCGATGGTGCAACAGGGCTGGGTGATGTATACGTTTCCTGTGGCTGCTGTAACAAATTACTGCAATCTTAGTGGCTTCAAAGAAAGTATTTTTAAAAATTTGTATAGTTATGGAGATCAGAAATCCAAAAATAAGTTTTATGGAACTGTATTAGGGTTCTCCGGAGGGACAGAAGTAATAGGATCTATATCGATATGAAAGGAGTTTATTTTTTATTTTCATTTTTATTATTTTTGAGACGGAATCTCACTCTGTTGCCAGGCTGGAGTGCAGAGGCACGATCTTGACTCACTGCAACCTCTGCCTCCCGGGTTCAAGCAATTCTCCTGCCTCAGCCTCTGGAGTAGCTGGGACTACAGGCATGCGCCGCCCTGCTCAGCTAATTTTTTTTATTTTTAGCAGAGACAGGGTTTCACCATGTTGGCCAGGATGGTCTCAATCTCTTGACCTCATGATCCACCTGCCTCAGCCTCCCAAAATGCTGGGATTACAGGCTGAAGCCATTGCACATGGCCGAGATTTTTTTTTTTTTTTTTTTTTTTTTTTTTTTTTTTTTTGAGACGGAGTTTCGCTCTTGTTACCCAGGCTGGAGTGCAATGGCGCGATCTCGGCTCACCGCAACCTCCGCCTCCCGGGCTCAGGCAATTCTCCTGCCTCAGCCTCCTAAGTAGCTGGAATTACAGGCATGTGCCACCATGCCCAGCTAGTTTTTTGTATCTTTAGTAGAGACGGGGTTTCACCATGTTGACCAGGATGGTCTCGATCTCTTGACCTCGTGATCCACCCGCCTCGGCCTCCCAAAGTGCTGGGATTACAGGCTTGAGCCACCGCGCCCGGCCGAGATTTTTTTTTTTTTAAGTCTAATTTTGTCATAAAAAAATGTCCCATTCAAGCCAGGTGCAGTGGCTCATGCCTGTAATCCCAGCACTTTGGGGGACTGAGGCTAGCAGATCACCTAAGGTCAGGAATTCAAGACCAGCCTGGCCAACATGACGAAATGCCATCTTTGGTAAAAATATAAAAATTAGCCAGGTTTGGTGGCATGTGCCAGTAATACCAGCTACTTGGGAGGCTGAAGCAGGAGAATCAACTTGAACCTGGCAGGTGGAGGTTGCAGTGAGCCAAGATTGCACCACTGCACTCCAACCTGGGCAAAAGAGTAAGACTCTGTCAAAAAAAAAAGAAGCACATTCAGCTCCATGACATGACATGACCCCTTTAATACAAAGATGAAGTAAAATAGGCTATCCAAAATTTTTGCCCTGAGTTTATGAATACCTCTATTGCATAGCCCTGGGTTTACGCATGTCCCAAACTGAGAAACAAGGGAAGAAAATGGTCCATTTATTTGATCCACCAGGATTTACTGAGAAGTGTCCTTGTTGCAGGCTTGGGGTAACGTGCTGGGAATACCTGAGCGAGTGAGACAGGCTCTGCTCTGAGGAGCTCAGTCCAGCGGTTATGACAGGCCACCTCCGTCTGTTTACTGTCAGGAAGAGAGGCCCTATAATTACCACGAACATGTGTTCTGATCCCTGGTGTGGGGTATAGAACACAGAGCATATCAAGTAGGCTTGGTTTTCCTGGAACAGGTTTTGCTAGAATTTAAAAAAAGAACTGCATCAAGTCCTTTGGGGGCCCTGAGATGCCTGACTGACACCATTACTATGTCAATAAACCTTTTATTCATTCACCCTTCAACAGCTCTGATGAATTTTCCATAAAGGAATTCATCTGTCTGCTCTCATCTGGGAAGGCTTCCCAGAGGAGGTGACATTTGAGAGAAATCCTAATGGATGCATATAATGACCACAAAATAATACTATTTTAAAAAGTAGTAACTGTTAACTTTTGCATAGGGCATACTAAAATATTCTGAGACTTTTGTGTGTACTAAGTCATCTAATTTTTACAACAGGCCATGAGTTAGATGTTTTATTGATTCAATCATTCATTGATTGGGTAGATCCTGTTTGTGTGTGTGTGTGTTTTGTGTGTGTGTGTGTGTGTGTGTGTTTTGAGACAGAGTCTCACTCTGTCACCAGACTGGATTGCAGTGGCTCGATCTCGGCTCACTGCAACCTCTGCCTCCCGGGTTTAAGCGATTCTCCTGCCTCAGCCTCCTGAGTAGCTGGGACTAGGTATGTGTCACCATGCCCAGTTAATTTTTGTATTTTTAGTAGAGATGGGGTTTCACCATGTTTAGCAGGATGGTCTCGATCTCCTGACCTTGTGACCTGCCTACCTTGGCCTCCCAAAGTGCTGGGATTACAGGTGTGAGCCACCGCGCCCGGCCAGTGTACTTTCACTTTCGATAAATCTCTGCTTTCCTTGCTTCATTCTTTCCTTGCTTTGCTGTGTATTTTGTCCAGTTCTTTGTTCAAAACACCAAGAACCTGGACAACTTGCAGTCAAGACCCTCTACCGGTAACAACATCGTCTCTGAAGAATAGATGCACTTCCTTCTTTCTAAGGTTTTTTTTTTTTTTTTTTTTTTTTGAGACGGAGTTTCGCTCTTGTTACCCAGGCTGGAGTGCAATGGCGCGATCTCGGCTCACCGCAACCTCCGCCTCCTGGGCTCAGGCAATTCTCCTGCCTCAGCCTCCTGAGTAGCTGGGATTACAGGCACGCACCACCACGCCCAGCTAGTTTTTTTGTATTTTTAGTAGAGACGGGGTTTCACCATGTTGACCAGGATGGTCTCGATCTTTCGACCTCGTGATCCACCCGCCTCGGCCTCCCAAAGTGCTGGGATTACAGGCTTGAGCCACCGCGCCCGGCCTCTTTCTAAGGTTTATACTCTTTTCTTTCCGCTGTATAATTATGTGAGTCATATTCCTTGAATCTGAGCCCAGCACACAAGGTTTTTGCTTCCTGGCACAGGGCCTGGGGCCTTTGCCCATCCTTGAAATTCTTTGCCTATCATTCTCAGCTCTAAAACAATTATACCCGAAAGTGCTTTCCCATGACTTTTTCTCAGGCTTGGAGGTATCACTCCAGTGGGAGCTACTTGGGCAGGAAGCTTCTCTGACTGTCCCAGATCTCCCCAATATCCTCATTCCAATAAACC